CTTTGATCCTATATATCTTTTTTGAAGAATAAATCCCGATACGATGGCAAGCTCAGCAATGAGCATGAAGTTGGAACTGCAGCTTCTCATTCGGATGACTCACCTGAAGACGAGGAATTTGGCGAGAATATTATGGATATGAAAGGAGATGTATTTGGATAGAAAAAAGAGATCCTCTCATCTTTGTTACTTATTTTCTGCTGTAAACTATCTATCTCTCAAAATTACATAATCTTCGCATTCCTGTACGTTTTAATTACATTTTTTCCCTGTGTACTTTCTTTTCCATAAAGGTGTGCGCTTCACTGCCTTAAAGTACCGGTTTTCTCAAACAACCACTTTCATTTTGGTGCATTGTATCTGCCTGATTTTCTTATTTAAAGCTGTAAAATTGTGATTTCATCTTGGAAAAAAAGGGTTTTTGATAAATATGCTTGCTATTTAAAGATAAAAAAATGCATTTTTGGGGCTCATCATTCAAATACCTTTTCCTACTTTGTTTATCACAAATCTAGAAAGAATAGTCATACTACAAGTACATACGTATTTTATGTGCATTTGCTTTAGGATAATCGGCTTTGGAAGCAAATCATGTACGATACCTTCCTCTTGGTTTTTGTATTTTGGAAAATGAACTGCATTGCAGTCAGAGATAGGCAAATAGCTATTTTCTATCAAATATCTAATTTTCTCTATATTTTTATTTTATACGGTTTTTCAATCAAGTCAAATCCGTTAACGCTTTTATTTCCAAAAGTTTTGCAATAATATGGAAGGCATTTTTGAATATTATATCCTATTATGAATTGAGTAACATCAATGTTTTGTTCTATAATCTTTGTTCCAACGTTCACTATTTAAAGAAATCCCTTAACTTCCATGTTTGGATCCAGACTTTTGATGTAGCGCTTAAGGCTTTACTTGAGACATAATGTCACAATTTATGATATTATTTTGAAACTTGTGAACTCCTGGACAACACTTCGATAACAACTTGCGTAACGAAACAATATATATAATTAGTTACTCTTTGACAAAAAATGATAAAATAAGGATAGGAAAGACAAGGTAAGTTTTTATTTTAAGAATAAAAAATTGATTGATAATTACAGAAAACTTGCCAGCAATAGGGTAAAAGCATCCCATTCCAGTTATATATTTAAGGTTTTTTT